TCAGATGTCTGACTTTTCCTTTCTCAGTAATGTTCTTGGAGAGGATTGGGATAACGGGCTTGCTTGCTAATACACCCATTGTTCCTTTATTCGTTGTTCTCTAGCCCATCAAGAATGCACCCCCAGGAAAGAAGTATGTCCGATGCCCGTGTAATTGTCTCCTTATCTGCAAGGTGACTTCCCAGCGCATTGCTTGCCCTCGGCCCTACTGGTAAGAGACATAAGGTGGGAAGGCTGTGCTTGGGAAAAACTGTAAAGAAAACCAAACTGAACCTGGGCAAGGTGGTGCATGCCTAGAGTCAATCCCAGAAGCTGGGAGGTGGAGGTCAGAAGATCTGTGTGGAGCCCTGAATTCCTAAGTAGTCCTGTGTGAGCAGATCCAGTTAAAATTAAGAACTTTCCCTCCTCCCTCCCCCTCTCCCCAAATAGCAAAAGAATCATCAACCTAGGGCCTGTACATCCAGGACCTCTAAGTCCAGAGCCACAGCCAATGGGTGTCAGGGTCATCTGTGGACATTGCAAGAATACATTTCTGGTGAGGAGGGATATTGGGAAGTCCTTGGAGGGGAGGGAGGCAAGTACTGGGAATAGTAATAAATTCTGGAAAAGACAGTCCTAATTCTCCTTTGTCATCCTCTTCCTTGCCTCAGGGTTCTCATTGAGAACCTTCTTCCTATGGTTGTTTCTCTTTTTCTATAGTGGACAGAATTCACAGACCGAACCTTGGCACGATGCCCTCACTGCAGGAAAGTGTAAGTGGTTAGGCATTGCACTAGTAACTAGATAATGTATGGCATAAAGTCAACAGGGCTATTCCAAATACCATTTTGTTGGCTCCCACAGGTCATCTATTGGGCGCAGATATCCTCGGAAGAGATGTATCTGCTGCTTCTTGCTTGGTTTACTCTTGGCAGTCACTGCCACTGGCCTTGCTGTGAGTAGTCTTGATGCAGACCTCTTATCTGCTTCATCAACAGGCTAAGATCTGAGAAGTCGATACCTTACAGAATGGTGAAAGAGCGGGGTGTTGGGGTATGTCCTTGAATTCAAGAATAGAGACAGTTCCAAGGTAACCCTTGCTACATAGCAAGGCCCCATCTATGATACAAAAATGGGGAGTAGATTGTTGCCAGTTCCAGCTGTGGCTTAACTGGTAAGTGTTGGCCTAGCATGCCCGAAGTCCAGGGTTTGACCTCAGCACCATGTAAACAAAACGTGGTGGTACAGGCGTGGGTCCCAGCACCCAGGAGGATCAGATTTCAAGGTCATTCTCAACTACAGGAATTGAGGTTGCTCAAGCTGGTTACATTGACTCTTGTCTTAGAAAACAAAAAACCTAAAGTGAAAATACTTGGCGATAGGGTGGGGGCATTTTCAGGTACAGGTTAACTAAAGTTAAAGGTGACTAATAAACTAAGAAGTCAAAGAAGGAATTCCCACTCTGGAGAGAAAACTGACTTGTTGTTAGGAATCTTGGTTCACTCCTTAGATATGAGTAGTAGTGGCAGATGCCTGGAATGGCAGGAGTACTCTCCTGCCTAAGAGAAGGGAGCTAAACCACCTGACCTTTGGAAAGGTCCCTGAAGATGGTTACCAGTGACTAGGGAACAGAGACAGAACTTGGCATTGTATTACTGTTTCCAAGACTTAGAAGCTGTAGACACCAAGAGTAACCTCTCTTTTTTTCTTCTTCCTGTCTGTCAGTTTGGCACATGGAAGCATGCACAGCAATATGGAGGTATCTACGCAGCCTGGGCATTTGTCATTTTGTTGGCTGTTCTATGTTTGGGCCGGGCCCTTTACTGGGGCTGTATGAAGGTCAGCCATCCTGTCCAGAACTTCTCTTGAGCCCCTTGATCCAGTCTGTGCCTGGTGGCTGCCTGGTAGCAACAATAACACTACAAAAGGCTCTGTGGACTTCTGCAAGGAAGCCAAGCAGCTGCCTCCCTTTTCCCTGGGGAGAGGTAGGAAGGAACCAGTCCTTTACTTAGGTTTGGAAGTATAGGTAAGACCATTGCTAGCTGTCTTTCTTCCAAGGGTTGCTGTTAGGGTAAATAGGCAAAATACTGCCCCTAAGCCTGGATCCTAAGTTGGTTCTAGCCATGTCCTTCCTATGTGTGCTCCCTGAGAACCATTCCTGACCCTTACACATTCCAGGGCAGGGTGGGGGTGGGAAGTGTGTGTGGGGGTTCCCCTCCCTCACGTACACCGTTAGGACCTTCCTTGCTGCTGCTATTGCACTTCACCAGGGGCTGGCTTTGGCCTCAACAGCCACAGTCCCTTCTCCCACACTTCTTGTCCTGTGGGGTGGGGTCAGCCACTGCTCTGTACAGAACTACAAGAACTGATGTATATACAACTATTTAATATGGGATATGGTTCCCTAATCCTGTATTTCCCTGAATTCCTCCTTCCAACTTTCCTTACTTTCAGTTGCAGCACTGAACTGGGCTGAGGTAGGGTCGCTGTCGCGGGAGAGGTCAGGAATTCATCTGTGCTTGTAAATAAATAATGTCATGACTCTAACCTTTCCCACTTAACAACTGTTGTGTATGAAAAAATAAAAAGGGAATTTGTAAACGCACAAGGGGAAAACAAAGATAACGAAGTTGAAAGTAGGGCCTTTTTATTTTTACTTGGATTGTTCAAAGGCTTGGCTTACATTTAAAACAGGGGGGCACACACAAAAACAAAACCCCGGGCCTAAAGGACTGTTCTTGAGAGAGGAGGCCATTTCCCAGGTGTAATTACTTCAGCAGAGGCGTCACAGTGCTAGGTAAAGGGTGATGGGACAGTGATCACTGCCAAGAGCCTTGGAGCGGATCTTGCTGTCACACAATGCAGGTAAAAGAGAGTGTGACAACAAAAAGTAGTCAAGGCGCCAACCGACATTCTTAGATCGAGCATTCATCATGTAAGTCCAAAAGGTATAGGCATGGGGGGTGTTGGGATAAAGGTGCCTGAAGCTGTCAGCCAGCGGCACAGCCTGTAGCAGCTCCCCAAAGCCTTGGCGCTCCTGAGGGGTAAAGCCAGCATTCTTTTTGTTCCCTTTGGGGTTGCGAAGGTCAATTTCTTCATGAGCCACATTGAGATCCCCACATAGCACTAGGGGCTTTCGAGAAGCCAAGTCCTTCAGAAACTTTCTAAAGGCTTCATCCCAACGTTGGCGGTACTCAAGCCTTACCAGACCCCTGCCTGCATTGGGAACATAGGCTGTTACCAGGACAAAGGAGTCAAATTCTGCCACAATCACCCGGCCTTCTTGATCATGCTCCTCCTCACCTACAAAAATAAAACCAGCATAAAATTAAAAAAAAAAAAAAATCTAAGAAGCAGCAGAGTTAATTGGCTGGAGAATACTCGGACATAAAAATCAATAGGGTCTCACCAATGCCATAAGAGACTTTGAGTGGGCACTGGCGGGAAAGTAAACCCACACCACTGTATCCTTCTTTGTCTGATGGAGCTGACCAGTATTGATGGGTAAGTCCAGGCAGGTCTTGAAGTTCTGCTGGGAGCTTATTCTCTGAGCATTTGGTTTCTTGGAGGCACAAAATATCTGGTGCTTCTTCCTTTACCCACTGAATGAAACATGAAAAGTTAAAATCTTACATGCTACACACAGTCCCTGTACATAAGGAATTCAAGCAGCAAGATATGTGTAAATCATGTGACTGACAAAGGGACCTTTTAGGGTATGTGTATGTGTGAATGAGAGCCATTTGACTTGGGTGCTCAAAACCTAACTTGGAGCCTCCAGAAGTACTGCAAAGTGTTCCAGTCCCTCACCCACTGAGATCTTTAGTAGTTATTGGAGTTGTGGGCACGATGGAGACCCAGGATTTTTTTTTTTTTTTTAATCCCAGCGACTAATTAAAAAGAATATAAAACAAGGTGATTGGGATTGAAGGAACAAACATTTAGTCTGGCCCTCATCCCCAACTACAAGCAAGAAGAAAAAAGCATCCTCTGGACTCAAGTTTTCGTTTTTTCGAGACAGGGTTTCTGTGTAGCCCTGGCTGTCACTTTGTGGGCCAGGCTAGCCTAGAAACTCAGATCCATCTGCTTCTGCCTCGCCTCGCGTGCTGGGATCAAAGGCGTGTGCAACCACCACCCGGACCTCAAGATAATTCTTCAGTCTGTCAAAGTCTACTTCCCTCCTGAATTGTACTCACGTCTAAACCTTTCTTCTTAATCCAGGCTCGAAGCCCATCCACATTCCAGGAGCATATCTTGAGTGTGGCAGATTTGCCACTGGGTGAGAGTTTCTCATCTGGAGGGTCCTCATATAGGACAGGACCCTCTCCTGCGGCCTCTTTCTCGTTTTTCTTTGCTGTTGCTTTACTCTTCTTGGTCTCTGGTTCTATAAAATGAGTAAATAAATGAGCTGGCTGTTTCCAACCTCAGGCCAGTGTTAACGCTCTAGTTATCCGAACTTCTCGGACTCCTGCAATGTAACTTGGTCCATATTAACCGTAGTTCATAGTGGTCTAGTGGAGCCCTAAACTTGCCGGGGTTGGGGGGAGGAGGGTAACCACGCACTCATTTCACTTCCTTACCGGACTTGGGTTCTTTCCCGTCTTCAGCCGCCGCTCTCTTCCCACGCTTTGGCATCCCTGTGACGAAAGCCCTTAGGGGCCTGGAGCACCGAAGCAGTGTTTACTGCGTTGCCTACAGATAAGAAGCGGCGAAATCAAACACAAGGAGAGGAAGCGAGCCTCCCCCTCCCCCTCAGGCGTTCGCACACGGGGGTGTGTGTGATCGGTTCACCCAGTCTTCCTCGCCATGTGCAGCCCAGCCCCGCAGCCCCTCGACCCCGAACCAGCTAGCACAAGCTACCTGACCTCCCAACGAAGCCAGGGAGCCCCTCTCAGCACAAAGAATGGAGCCTGCCTGTTCCCACGTGGGAGCTAGGCGTGGTCACGTGATCCGAAGTGCTGTGATTGGTCCATCTGGCACCGCATGACGTCACTATGGGCGCCTGAAGGTCCGGTCGCTTGGTTCTGGGCTGTTCGTGGTGCTGCCGGTTACTACTAATCCTGCCACCTGGGGATCCCGAGCCGGGGCCCACCATGCCCGTGGTGCTGGGGTTCGAAGGCAGCGCCAACAAGATCGGCGTGGGCGTGGTGCGCGACGGCAAGGTGCTGGCGAACCCGCGGCGCACTTACGTCACGGCCCCGGGCACCGGTGAGTGGCTGCGGCCCTGGTTGCGGGCTCCTTGTCCCATTTACAGGGTTTCGTGCAATGGGGAGCCCTTTCCCGATATTCTATCCTGTTGCCTGCTTCAGCTTCCCGGGTGTTGCTTGCGCCCAGATTCCCTTTTACAGAAACTTGATTCGCGTTTGTTTGGTAACTCTGACAGCTGTAAGTAACACAGTGCACATGGACACAGTGGGTTCGTTCGGGGTGTTTTGTTTTTGAGACAGGGTCTCCTACGTAACTCTGACTCTCCTGGAACTTGCTGTGTTGGACAGGCCGGTCTCGAACTCATAGAGATCCCTCTGCCTATGCCTCCTGAGTGCTGGGATTAAAGGTGTGAGCCGCTATGCCCGCTTGTATTCAAGTTTTATCGAGCACCTTTTATGTGCTGAACACTCGAAAATAAAGTGTTCTGAGACTGCTTTATAGTCGCACAAAGAGATCGCTTTACACTATAATTGTTTAGAATGAGAAAGGACAGAACGGATATCAGAAGTTACTGGGGTTTTTTATTTTTCAGTATTTTAGGTGTCTTTTTCATTACATTTAGAATAGAAATGGGTATCAATGGGTTTTGAGAACCACGTGGAAGCACCAGACACTGCACAATTCTCAGTTAACGACTATTTACAAACTGTACCTTGCCTCCCTTCTCCGAAAGCACGAGCACACACATCTATAAGCTGCATGGACTCTCCAAACAGGTGTGATGTTTCAAGTTACATAGTAGAAATATATGTGTGTTTGGCACTCCTCTTTTAGGCACTGGAACTGAATTACTTTAAAGGGGGGGGGGCTACTGACAGTTGTACTGCTGTAGTTACTTTGTGTTAAGTCCAACAAGATGACCTAGGCTAGGGTTCTTTGGGATTCTGAAAGTTGTATGTGAACATGTGCATTTCTGAAAGCTAAGTAGCCTGTATAGAGGTTGGAAAGAAAGCTGAGTTGTGGTACAGTATGTAATCATGGCACTTGAGAGGCTGAGACAAGAGGGTTTGAGTGTGTGTTACGTGTGACCTTGTCTCAAAATTAGGGGCTTGCAAAGAGAATATCTTAAAACCTAGACTAGTGAAGGGATTATTTTTTCTAAATTGTTAAAACATCTTTTTGTTGATTTTTTTTTAGATCATTTTAATGTGCATTTATCACATTTTGTTTTGGTTTGGGGTGAGGGTTTTTTCTTTTTAAATAATGACACTACTTGCTGTTTATTTATATTTATTTTACACTATGGAAATGGTGTTAGACAAAAAGTAAAAGTAAAGCCAGATGGGCTGTTAAACCTATAATCCCAGTACGCCAGGAGGCAGACGCAGGCAGATCTCTGAATTTGGGGCCAGCCTGGTCTATATAGCAAGTATATAGCCAGGGCTACATTGTAAAACCCTGTCTCAAAATAAATAATAAAATGAGAATTGAACAATTACTTTGAGTTCCAAATGTTGGAGGGTGGAGGAGGGAGGCAGTAGGAAGAGTGGAGACAGCATAAAACGTCAACCGTACATAACATTTTGGCCCCTGGAACTGCTAAGGAACTGGACTTTGGTTGTTGAAGAGCTTGCAGAGACGAGAGCCCTGAAATAACTGGCTATTAGAACTTGGCCACAACCTATTTGTTGTGAGCAGCTGTGGAAGCTGATCTTACAGCTACAGAAGAACTTGCCAAAGAACTCAATGTGTAGCATGTGGTGAGCGTTGGCTATTTTTAAGTCAGCTGGAAAGTTTTAAGTTTAAAAAAAAAACAAAACTCAGTAAGTTAATACCTCATAAGCAGGCTGAAAATCGCAACAGCCATTGTCTTCAGGTCTCATCCACAAACCATTTCTCAATCAGACTGTGACAATGACAAAAAGTGGCTTGTATGGGAAACTGGCCACAACCAGCTTAGTGGCCTCAAAGCACTTCCCAAAGACAAACTTCCACCAAAAAAGGTCCCAGTCACTGGTGGTGTGCTGGGGGGGGGGGGGGGAACCTGATCCACTGTAGCTTTCTAAGTCCCAGGGAGACCTTCACATTTGAGAAGTGTACTCAGTAAATCACTGAGATGCAACCCCTTCAGTCAGCATTGGTAAACAGAAAGGGTCCAGTTCAGAACAGTGCCTGGCTGCATGTGCCATAGCCAGTGCTTCAAAAGCTGAACAACTCGAACTGACTCCAGTTTCTTCAGCATCTTAACTTTCTGAAAACATTTCCACAACCAGCAGGATGCAGAACGTGCTTTCTGAGAGTTTGTTGAAACTCTTTTGTTTTTGGGAATAAACAACCTAGTTTTTTGTTTTTTGTTTTTTTTTTTTTTGTTTGTTTGTTTGTTTGTTTTTTGTCTTGGTTTTTGTTTGTTTGTTTTTGAGACAAGGTCTTTGTACTACAAAGCTCTGGCTGTGCTGCCTACCATCACCCAGCTAATAGCCTGGTTTCTTGGTAAAATGTGTTGATTAAAATAGTTCCTGTTTTGGAGGCCAAGTGGTGGTGGCACACACCCTTAATCCCACCATTTGGGAGGCAGAGGCAGAGGCAGGCAGATCTCTATGTCAGTTTGAGGCCAGCCTGGTCTACAGAGCAAGTGCCAGGATAGGCTCCAAAGCTACACAAAGAAACCCTGTCTCAGGAAAAAAGTTCCTGTTTTGATTAATAAAAATATATTTGAGCCTAGTTATAATGATTTAAAATTTATAGCCCATATCACAATTCCCTTTGCACCAACCTAATAATACTTACCTTCTCCCAGTTCTTGATCAATGTACCTTTCCTCAGGATTCCTTCCAGGTGACACAGCCAGGCACCATCGAGCTGTTATCCTAGACCTACTGCAAGAGGCACTAACAGAAGCTGGGTTAACCTCCCAGGACATTGATTGCGTTGCTTACACCAAAGGTAAGTCTGGGGAAGTGGTCAGCAAGGGAGGACTGTAGGCAGAGCCCTAGCTGTCCACATTTCCAAATCTTCTTTCTTCACCTGTTTTTCCTAATGTCTAGTATTCTAATTCCCATTTGTACCCTGTTAGGCCCTGGTATGGGAGCTCCATTGGCTTCTGTAGCTGTCGTTGCCCGTACCGTGGCCCAGTTGTGGAATAAGCCTTTGGTAGGTGTGAACCACTGCATAGGCCACATTGAAATGGGCCGCCTCATCACTGGAGCCGTTAGCCCAACTGTTTTGTATGTCAGCGGAGGAAATACTCAGGTATTTAAGAATAATCTTTATGTTCCATGTATTTCTGAGATATTCCACCTGAATTGTAGGAGCTGCAAAGACAAAGCCAATCTCTGGTTCTTATATACTGTAGACAACACAACTGGTGTAGAATTGCAAATTTTGGAGGAGAGTTAAAATGTTAGAACTTTATACATGCACCTAGAGTTTCCAGTTTAAAAAAGAAGGAATGTGGATTTAACCCTTCAGGATAATGCCCTTTTTTTAAACATGTGCGTGTTTTACCTGAATGTATGTAGAAGCCCAAGGAAGATCAGAAGAGGGCTTCAGATCTAGGGAACATGCAGGTGCTGAGAATTGACCCAGGTCCTTTGGAAGAGCAGTCATTGCTTTATCTGTTGGGCCATCTCTCTAACTCAACAATTACGTTTTTCTTCATTTATCCATCCCGCTCCATTCCTTTCCTGAAAATCAGACTCTCCAGAAAGCTCAACCCCGTCCTCCCTCCTCAGCCCAAGTAGCTGGGATCACCAGCCTTCCATTTTGTTGTCTTATGCTGTTTATGACGGGGTCTCACTGCAGTGGACAGGTTTTCCTGCATTATTTTGATCTCCCTAACGCCTCCCAAGTGCTGAGATTACAGGTCAAACCTGGCCTGCGTTTTTTTTTTTTTTTTTTTTTTTTTTTTTTATGTTTCTTACAGAATGTCTGTGTGGGTCACTACAGAAAGCTCTGTTTTGAATTCTTATTTTTAGGGTTTGTTTTTGGTGTGTGGTTTCTGTTTGTTAGGGATGTTTCATGAATTTGTGTAATCTTTGCATGGGACCCTGCTAATCTCTGCATTATTACAATTTGTTTGGCAACTTCATACATATATTTAATATCTTGATTATATTTGGGTTTATTGTGTGTATTATATGTACGAGATGTGAATACATGCATGTGTGTGCGTGCATGCGTGTGGGAACAACCTTGAGGAGCACCTGTATGTGGGTTCCAGAAATCAAACTCAGGTCTCTAGGCTCACATGATAAGTGTTTTTTCTTACTGGGCCGTTTTACCAGCTCCTGATCTAGTTTTCTTGAGACGGGGTCTTGCTATTTGTCTAGGCTGGCATTAGACTTCACTGTGTAGCCCAACATGGTTGCCTGTCTGAACCTCATCAGTGTTTGAATTACAGGTATGAGCCACTGTAGACAACTTCCCTTTCTTTGTTACTGGAATGTCTAGTACACGTACTGTGCTACTTTCTTTCACATAGCTAAATACTCCTCTTTATAGATGTGAAGTTTCATGGACATTCTCATCATTCTTAGGTGATTTCTTACTCAGAACATCGTTACCGCATCTTTGGAGAAACTATTGATATTGCTGTAGGAAACTGTCTGGATCGTTTTGCTCGAGTGTTGAAGGTAGGCAGGCCATTGATGTCGGTCTGGGGAACAAAAAGAAATGAGACAGGAAGTAATATTTTTAGATCTTGGGCTTCTTGCAAATCTAACTTCTCTGCCACTTTACTTAACATGGGTCAGAAATTAAGCAATGGTGTCTATATATATATATCTGTTACTTGTTATGAATGTGTTTGTTCCTCTGTATGTGTACAATTTATAAAAATATGTACTTTTCTTCACCTCCATTTGGGGAGGAACCCCAGAGTGATGAGTATATTCACATGTGTAGAAGAATACATTTGCTTGATGCTCTCCTGGTTCTCTGTTTCTCTCTCCTTCTGGTAGATTTCCAATGACCCAAGTCCAGGCTACAACATTGAGCAGATGGCAAAGCGGTAAGAGGACATAAAGTTGAAGAGCACTGGCCACTCATGCTTCAGAGCTTTCCTTTTTTATATATTAATGAGGTTTGGGAGGGGCTTTGGAGGGTGAGCAGCCGGCTGACTCTAGGTTTAGTGCCTTTATTCATTTCTACATAGAGGCAAGAAGCTAGTTGAGCTGCCATACACTGTAAAGGGGATGGATGTCTCATTCTCAGGGATTCTGTCTTTCATTGAGGTGAGTGTGAGACTGGTAAGGAGACAGGAGCACATCCCTGCTTTTAAAAATGATGTGTCCACTTTGCTCACTGTTTATTTCATGCATAAGCATTCACTCATAATAGGTGTAGATAGATTATTTGGCAGGTACTGTGTGCCAGGCACTATTCTAATAATAGGAACACAGTATAGGGAAAACAGTTCCTCCTCCCTACATGGGAAGAAGGGTTGAAAATAAAAAGCAGAAGAAGACGATGTGGGGGTGCAGCACTATAATGTCAGCTGTAATGAAGTCAGCTATCCTTCCAAGTGCGGGAATTTTGCTGATACTCAATCTGTGGGTCGTTTCCGCCTCTCACTGCAGGATGTAGCACAGAGAATGCTGGCCACAGGAGAGTGTACTCCTGAAGACCTGTGTTTCTCCTTACAGGTAAAAGAGTGGAAAGCTGGGATGGAAAACTTATTCTAGAGTAGAGCTGAACTAAGGTGGGATGCCGCTCTGATGTCTCCCCCTTGTCTGTCTTCCACAGGAAACTGTGTTTGCTATGCTGGTGGAGATCACAGAGCGAGCCATGGCACACTGTGGCTCCAAGGAAGCCCTCATCGTAGGAGGAGTTGGATGTATGTGTCATCAGGCAGTGTGCCTTCTTCCTAGTCCTGATAGTCATCCTCTGCCTAAAATGCTACATTACTAGAGTGTGGAGAGTTACCTGTTTCACCTCTAACTTTTTCCCAACGGAGCACTGCTGGTTTGATAGCAAAATGGCCAAATCTAAGTTCTCTGTGGTTCCTGTCTCTTCATAGGTAACACGAGACTGCAGGAGATGATGGCAGCAATGTGCCAGGAGCGGGGAGCCCAGCTCTTTGCGACAGATGAGAGGTGAAGTCCTTCTCTGTGCCTTGAGTTCTTCTGTTCCCATTATTGCGGTTTTTCTGTGTTTAGACCACAAGTCTTGTTATCATCGCTCCTTCCCCAGATTCTGCATTGACAATGGAGCCATGATAGCCCAAGCAGGTTGGGAAATGTTTCAAGCTGGACATAGGACCCCTCTCAGAGAGTCTGGAATTACACAGAGGTGAGTGGTTTCCTCCTTTGAGAGAGTAGATAGTAGGTACAGGAGACAGGCAAACATCAACAGGTAAGAAATAGATAATGCTGTGGGTGATGGGTTTGGTGGCGTGCACCTGTAATCCCAGCATGTGGGGGCCAAGGTAGGAGAACTTTTATTTTGAGATAACCTGGGCTACAGATGAAACAAGATTAAATGTGAACATGTAGTCACAGGGTTCTTCTGCTTTCCACAGGTATAGGACAGATGAAGTAGAAGTGACGTGGAGGGACTAACATCAGCAGGGACAGAATAGCTGCCAAGTGGCGTGCTGATGTGGGGTGGACTTGGAGATGCTATCTATGGACTCTTATCTTCTCTGGCAAGTGTGTGGACCCCATACAAGGCTTAGGGTTCCTGTGGAACACCAAGATGACTCTGCAATAAAGAAATTGTTTTTATATGTTGATAATTGGATTGTGTTTTTTCAGGATCAATACAGAGTGAGTGCTGGGTAAATCCTTACTGGAGAGGTCAGTGGACAAGCTGGTGTGAGGGTCAGAGTCATACTTGGTTGATAGTGCAGATAGTTTTAATGGCTGCCACTTGGAGAAAGCCGTGAGTGCTTTCCTACCATCCCATTAACAGTAGTATCTTAACTAATAGTGTATTAGTGTCATGGCCTGTGCTGAGTGCTCTATACTTAAAATGAATTGTGCTCACATTCATTGAAGTACATACTCAGGATGCCATATCTCAGCACCAATACAAGCATCAGAACTATACAGATACCATGCTATGTATATTTCCACAAGAGGTCCTGAACTATCAAGCTCCTCTCTTACCTTCTGGCAGCCATGTGTCTTTTCCATTTTTTTTTTTTTTTTTTTTTTTTTTCTTTTTTGGTCCCACTTCCAAACTCCTGAAACTTACCAGCCCCTTTGTAAAAATCCATATATCCTCATCCTCTTTTCTGAATGTTTTTTCCACGACATTGCTCCTAGACCTGGTTTTTTGGAAAGACTGCTTCTATTAACACCTGGTGGTGAATCTTTCACACCCATGCGCCACTGGGCCTGGAGCTGGTGCACATGTCCTCTTTTCCTCCTCTCTCCTTCCCCCCTCCCCCACCCCACCCCATCTTTTTGAGGCAGTGTCTGTGTCTCTGTAGCCCTGGCTGGCTTGGAGTTTGCTATGTAAGCTAGACTGTCCTCAAACTCCCAGAGATCCACTTGCCTGTGCCTCTGCTTCCTGAGTGCTAGGAGAAAGGCGTGAACCACCACACTCCACCTCTTGCAATGCACTGTTCCATGTCTCAGTCTCATTCCATTCTTCTGCCATAATCATTTGGCTTATTATGCGGAATTCATTCCTTTTCCATAACCTGCGACCCTTTGACCTTATTTCCTTTTTATATTGTTTCCCTTCCTTAGCTAAATTCCAATAGTAAACACCTTGTTACAGATGCTTCATCTCCCTTTGCCATTAAAAATAAAAAAAACAGAATCTCATCAAGCTCCGGCTGGCCTTGAACAAACTAGCGTGGGTTCTGTGTCTGTCTCCCAAGCATTGGGTGCCAGTTGCGCCTCACCATACCCAATTCAAACGGTGTTAGAGACTGAACCCAAAGGTCTAGGAACTGAGCTGCATCCTTACCCCATTCTACTTCCACCACATACATCACCTGCTTTATGCTTATGTCTGTGCAGCCGAAAGTACAAGTGAGACAGCCATGCTGGCTGCTCTGACCAGTTACCACAGTGAAGCTGCCTGCCCCTCAGCAACATCCCTAATCCTCTCACTCTCTGCCTTTGATAGCAGTTGCCTCCAGTTTCTTTCTGAATCTTCTATGAAAATCTCTTCTGCAGCTGAGGATGGAGTTTAGAGTATAAAATGCTTGCTTAGTACCAAGCCCTCCAGTGGTGAGGCACACCTGAAACCCCAGTGTTTTGCACGCAGAGGCAGAAAGATGAGTATTTAAAAGTCATCTAGGCATATAATGAGTCCAAGGCTTCGACCCTATCTCCAAAAAAATAAATAAAATTTAAAAAATGGTTAACTTGGGAAGCAGAGGCAGTTGGAGTTCAAGGGCAGCTTGGTCTATAGAGCGAGTTTCAGGATAGCCAGGGCAGCTCACAACCATCTGTAACTCCAGTTTAAGGGGATCTGGTATTCTGTTAATGGAATTGTCAGGCACCAGGCATGTACATGGTGCATATACATACATGCAGGCAAACACATAGACAGAAAATCAAAATCTTTGTAAGTATATCTTAAAGCACAGAAGACATACAATGTCTTTCCTATTTCAGTTATAGCCTACTAAATTGTTCCTAACTCTATACTACAGAGCACATATGATGGTCAAATTACCATTCTCAAGAGTAGGTTCTTTCCAACATGTGGAAGGAACTCGGGGATCAAACTTGGAGTGTCCGGCTTGGTGGCAAGTGGCTCTACCCACTGAGCCATCTCACCCACCCGATGTGATATTTCTGTTATATTTTCACCAAATTTTCCTACAGAACTGTGTTGCTCCACAATTAGGGTCCAAACGACTCAAGAAGATAATGCAAAAACAAATACCCAGAAATTTCTCTTTCTTGAAATCATTAATACCAATGCCTAGGCTTTCTTAAGGACTTAACTATGATAAATGGTTCTATAAAGAGACACTTTTATGTAAGAGATTTCAAAATGTACTTGAAGACTTAAAATAACATCTTTCCTACTTGATTTTATTGCTTCAGAGAAGAAATTCTAATTATTCTTCCTTATGCCTCTGTACCAAGCTCCTGGAGGACAGCCGAGGGTGTTGGATCCCTTGGAGCTAAATTACCATATGGGTGCTGGGAATTGAACCTGGGCATTCTGGAAGAACAGCCAATGCTCTTAACCATTGAGCTATCTCTCCAATTCCAAGATATACTTTGAAGTATGTTGTAACTCTAATAGAATCTTGGTGGTACTTTGTAGAAAGAGGCACGGTGTGAATGTAAGCAATCTTGAACACCTTTGAGACGGAGCCCATTGCCTTCCTGCCATAGTGAACCCCCCTGGTGTTTTGTTTTGCAAACTGCCAAGAATGACCATGCTCCTACTCTGTCTCAACTGTTACCTCCCTGCACCCACCTAATCCATCCAATCCAGAGATTGCATTTAATTCCCATTTTAGGAGAGCCAAAGAAACATCCAGTGGCTTTTTATCTGTGGATCCAAGCTTATTACCGGATGGACTTACCCAAGAAAATAAAGACCAGACTGTCATTGGAAACAAGCATGAAACTGAAGATGTAAAATTCAAGATCAGCAAAGGCAGTTGCAGTTGGCAGGTGGGGAGGACAGTGGGCTGAGCTTGAATAGCAACAGTTCACCTGACTCCCATTCACATCTGTGCCCTGATGGTGCTGACTCCAACCAGCCCCCTCCAGGAAAACCAACTTCAGATGTCTTGCCTGTGGCACCCATGAGAACAATGAACCCTGTTTTATCGTGTTCTGGAATTGTGCCTCAACCACAGTAAGTGTGCTTGCTTTTAAAGTGGGGAATAGTTCTAGGTGTAGAGTTTATGCTTCTGAACATGACAGCTAATTTCAGAACAACGGTATAGAGAGGACAATTTCAGATTTCTCTACTTTTCGGTTGGAGTGTGTGTGTGTGTTGAGATCTCCCTGGCTGTTCTAGAACTAGCTCTGTAGAAAAAGGCTGGTCTTAAACTCATAGTGATCTGCCCTCCTGAGTGGGATCAAAGGCATATGTTACCACCAGATTGTAACTAATGACAGTCTGGCTATATATAAAAGGAAGCACCAAGTCTTGGTCCCCTAAGAGGAAGTTCAGTGCTAATAGACACATCCTTAAAGGCTTGTGTTGTTTATACCAGAATGCTGAAGTTGTTTAAAATGGTACTTAGAGCTGGGTAAACACAAAGACTATAAAATTGAGATTAATTTGCAAACTCCTTTGGATTTTTGGTTTTCTGTTTTAAGAAGGGTTTTTATGTTTTAAAGTTTAACTTTAGTCATGAAATGTTAGAAAATGTTTTAGCACATTAAGGTTTACAGATACTAGGGACCATGGTACTTTACATTTCACACTGAGAATTCTTTCCCTAGCAAGCTGCTAAAGCAAAGTCTATGAAATATACTAAGAAGTTGGTGTTCAAATTATCTGTGTTGTTATAATTTTCTGGGTTTACTTGTTTGTTCAAGTTGTTTTCACTGCAAATCTGTCTTGTAAATTGGCTCTGAGAAAATAGCTCTGAATGTCAACAACACAGAATATGAATGACCCAAAAGTAAAATTCCTTTCAATCATATATCCTAAGGGGCTTTTTCCATTTTATGATTATGACATTGGCCCATTTCCTTTTTTTTAATTTTTATTTTTATTCTCTCATTGTTCCTCATTCTCTCAAAACAAGTTTTTAGTCAAAAGCTTTGTTAACGCAGAAGGTTAACTATCTCATTTTTTATTTTTAAATTATTAAAAACAGTCATTCTCAGTGCTGAATAAAGTAATGATTGAACAATCCAAAAGTAGATTTTTTTTTCCTGTTATTCAAAAGCCTTTTTCATGAATCCTATTTTCAGGCCAGTGGAACACTGGCTTTCCTGAATTACCAGCATAGCTGGGATTACAGGTCTTTTGTCACCAATGCCACTTGTAATCCCAACACTTGGGAGGCTGAGGCAGGAGAATTCCAGTTCAAGTCTAACCTGGGCTATATAGCAAGATCTTGTCTTTAAAAAATCGAAAACAAACATTTGTACACCCATGATGGCATGCAGTTTTCATTGGCTTGTTGGCTTACAGAATTTGGATTTGTTAATCCAAGCAACATTTTTTTTGTTTTGTTTTGTTTTTCAAGACAGGGTTTCTCTGAAGCTTTGGAGGCTGTCCTGGAACTAGCTCTTGTAGACCAAGCTGGCCTTGAACTCATGCCAAGGCCTCTGCTTCTGGAGTGCTGGGATTGAAGGCGTGCACCACCAATGCCTGGCTCCAATCAACATTTAATGGTTTGTCAGGGTCTATGCTTTACAGAAGGCAGGGCTTGAAGCCCAGCCCTGTGTTAGTACAATGATGAGTAACACCTGGATCCCACTGGGAAACAGTTGCCTGTGAGTTCAAGGCCAGCCTGGTCTACCGAGTGAGTTCCAGAACAGCCAGGAGCACACAGAGAGAAACCTTATCTCAAAAATTGCAAAATACTTAAGCTAGTAACAAAAGACAAATATCTCTAGGATAATGAGGGAAAGATATAACATGCACTTTAAATGCTTATGATGTTTAATTTCACTAATACATTAAGAAAACATAAGCATTGTCAATTTGGCAGGTATGAATAAGTACATTGACAGACCATGTTCATAGGAAGAAATGAAGTATTGGTGCCTCTACGGGTGGAGAAATTGATACCCCTTTCAGAAGGGGAGCCTGCTCTCCATCTGATACAGGCAACACCGGCTCTCC